ATAGTGAATGCAGGGTCCGGGGAGACCGGATATAGTGAATGCAGGGTCCGGGGAGACCGGATATAGTGTATGCAGGGTCCAGGGAGACCGGATATAGAGAATGCGGGGTCCGGGGAGACCGGATATAGTGAATGCGGGGTCCGGGGAGACCGGATATAGTGAATGCGGGGTCCGGGGAGACCGGATATAGTGAATGCGGGGGATCCGGGGAGACCAGATATAGTGAATGCGAGGTCCGGGGAGACCGGATATAGTATAGAGCAGTGGGGGGAGTGAAGAAAAAACAGGAGTAGAAGGGCTTTCAGTTGAACATGGTGCTTTATCCCGTATGGGCAAATGTAGGTTACTTTAAAGCTGAAGTTTAATCCACTTATAATTTGCCTTCCCTGGTTCCCCATCCCCCCCTCATCAACATGATAATGACATCTGTAAATAAAATCTTTCCAATTTCATTACATACATTTTAGACCAATTGATGTGATCACTGGGTGTCTGTGCTTCTCTATGCGATGCAGGTAGATCATGGCTGGTGGGAGGGGACAACAGTGTGCTGTACATATCTTCCTGGAAACATCACAACTCCCTGCCTCAGTACTCCTCTGAAGAGCCCCCAGCCCTGATATAAGCAGTGGGCTGGCTCTTGGAAGGAATTATGCAAACATCAAAATGCTGGAAGCAGGGGTGGACTGATAACTCATGGGGGCCCCTGGGCAAAAGGGGATCATGGGGCCCCTGTGTCCTTGCCCAAACTCAAAAAAGCCTATGAAAAAGGTACCAGGGGCATCTCATGGGGCCCCCTACTGACCCCGGGCCCTCGGGCAGTGCCCTAGTTTCCAAATGGTCAGTCCGCCCCTGGCTGGATGTCAGTCTGGAGGAATGGGAATTCCTAGGCAAGCTGTATAAAGCATGCCGTAGGTAACACCCACATGTGATGCCGAGCCCCTGAGATTGAAAGATCTGAAATCCAATGAATGAAAGGGGCAGGCCAGGTACAGTCAGGCTGGGGAGGAAAGTGCTAGATGATGCTGGATGTCCTCCAGCCAGGAAATGAGACGGGTTCTATCTGACTTGCTCAGCTTCTAGTGCACATTATGAGAAGCTCACAGTGTGCAGTGAAATCAGAGGAAGTAATTTCAGTCCAGGAGAGGAGACCATACAACTGTGCCAGACTGATGGGAAGGCTGGAGGTCAACTTACTGGACAAAGTACATATTCAGTTTAATGGGGAGACATAGCAGAGAACACAGACAAAACGTTTCTTGAATATTGGATGGAGTGTGGAGCAAACTTCACTTGCTTTGGCCTGTTATGGAGATTTTCATCACTTCCTGTTCTGGAGATACAGCAGGAAGTGACATGAAATTTCTCCAAAACAAAAGAAATCTCTCGGACAGTTGTCACTGGAATATGTGTCCCCAATCGAAGATTTCCCTTTATTCCTGTTCTGGTGACAACTCCAAATTTCCGTTTTTTAATCACCAACAGCAATATAAACCCGAAAAAGACCACTTTAACACAAGGTCACATGACTTCCAGATACCCTTCAAGAGACCAGACCATTCATTTCAACAGCAATCTCCCCAAAAGATGAACTGATCATTTCACATATTGTATGGACAGGGGCGGACTGACAACTCATGGGGCCCCCGGGCAATAGGGGATCATGGGGCCCCTGTGTCCTCACCCACACTCAAACTACACCTAAAAAAAGCCTATGAAAGGTATCAGGGGCATCTCATGGGGCCCCCTACTGACCCAGGGCCCTCGGACAGTGTCCGAATGGTCAGTCCACCCCTGTGTATGGATGGTATTTACCTGTGAAATCCTCCAGGGTGAAGACATCCAAAAATCCTGAGACTGGTGGCTTCCAGATGCCACCATCTTGGATGTGATGTCAGCAGCCCCAGTGGACTCAGAGCTGTCAGTCAAGTGACCCTCTATAGCACGGGTGTCAAACTCGTGGCTCTCCAGCTGTTGCCAAACTACAAGTCCCATGAGGCATTGCAAGATTGACAGTTACAAGCATGACTCCCAAAGACAGAGGCATGATGGGACTTGTGGTTTGGCAACAGCTGGAGGGCCGCCAGTTTGACATCCCTGCTCTATAGCAGGCATAGACAACAACTCGGCACTCCTGCTGTGATCTCACTACAAATCCCATCATGCCTCTGCCTCTTGGAGTCATGCCTGTGACTGTCTGAGTCTTGCAATGTCTTATGGGATTTGTAGTTCCACCTCAGCTGGCATGCTGACTTTGCCTACCACTGCAATATTGTAGTCTTGTTTACCAGGTTATGTAGTGAGGGGCAGAGCAGCTGGGCCAGCACAGAGAGTAATTAGCCACTCCCAGAGAAGGAGAGGGCATGACATAGGAAGCTGCAGAGGGCTGTACTTGGGAAATTACTCTTCCTGCAGTGGTCACATTTGTAGCAAGTTCAGAGGCACGTTATAAATCAATAAAAAGCAAAGGAAAGCACTGCAAGGAAGCATTTCAGATACTTGATTCTTCTGGGCTTTAGGTAGGGATGAGCTTGGCTTTGGCTGCAGATTTGGCCCAAACCCATGTTGGGCTGCAACCGGAAGGCAACAGTGAGTGCCAGGCCAACCAACTGCTGGGTGAAGGATTCCCTACCCAATGGCTACACATATACAAAGTGGCGGGATGTACATGATATCATTAGCCTTATATATCCGGAAGCTGATTGGCCGGACATTGGGTTGGGTTTAGATCCAGATTCAGAGTGAACCAATGTTGTACCCAGAGAAGGCATCTGTCAGTGCTGGGCCAATCAGTTGCGGGATGATACATTCCCTTCCCAATGGCTACACATACATAAAGTGTCCGGATGTACATGACATCATTAACCTAATATAGCCGGCAGCTGATTGGCCGGACATTGGGTTGGGTTTTGCTTCAGATTCAGGTTGAACCAATGTTGAACCTGGAGATGTCATGAGCATCCCTACCACTTTGTGTACATGCATCTGATTGGCCCAACACTGACAGCTGTCTTTCAGATTCGGCCCAAACATGGGACCAGACCAAATTTGGAACCACATCCAAGCTCAATGCCTGGCCAATCAGCTGCTGGCTATAATAGATCAATGATGTCATGAGCATCTCACAACATTTTGTGTACATACAACTTATTGGCCAGGCACTGAGCTTGGGTTTGGTTCCAGATTTGGTCTGACCCCATGTTAGGCTGAACTTGAAAGGCAGCTGTCAGTGGCGGGCCAATCAGCTGCATGTACATAAAGTAGTAGGGATGCTCATGACATCATTGACCTAATATAGTCAGTAGCTGATTGGACAGGCAATGACAGCTTACTTCCAGGTTTAGACCAAACTGATGATCACCACTAGTGACAGGGTCTCTTCAAAGGTCCTCCAACCCAAAGGTTCTCCAAAGGTCAATGATGTCAGGAGCATCCTCCACACTCTGCTCATGTGCAACCATTGGGTAGGGAATCCCTTGCCCACAGCTGATTGGCCCAACATTGACATCTGCTTTCCAGGTTCAGTTCAACATGGGTTTGGTTTCAGATTTGGTCTGACCCCATGTTCGGCTGAACTTGAACGACAACTGTCAGTGGTGGGCCAATCAGCTGCATGTACACAAAGTGGTAGGGATGCACATGACATCATTGACCTAATATAGTCGACAGCTGATTGGACAGGCAGTGACAGCTTACTTCCAGGTTCAGACCAAACCCAAGATCACTACTAGTGACAGGGTCTCTTCAAAGGTCCTCCAACCCAAAGGTTCTCCAAAGGTCAATGATGTCAGGAGCATCCTCCATACTCTGCTTATATCCAACCATTGGGTAGGGAATCCCTTGCCCACAACTGATTGGCCCAATATTGACATCTGCTTTCCAGGTTCAGTTCAACATGGGTTTGGTTCTAGATTTGGTCTGACCCCATGTTGGGCTGATCCCGAAAGGCAGCTGTCAGTGCCGGGCCGATCAGCTGAATATACACAGAGGGGTGAGGATGCTCATGACATCACTGAACTAATATAGCTGACAACTGATTGGCCTGGCACTGACAGCTTACTTCTGGGTTTGGCCCAAACCCAAGCTCATCACTAATGACAGGGTCTCTTCAAAGGTCCTCCAACCCAAAGGTTCTCCAAAGGTTAATGATGTCAGGAGCATCCCCAACACTCTGTTTATATGCAACCATTGGGTAGGGAATCCCTTTCCCACAGCTGATTGGCCCAACATTGACAGCTGCTTTCCAGGTTCAGTTCAACATGGGTTTGGTTCCAGATTTGGTCTGACCCCATGTTGGGCTGATCCCGAAAGGCAGCTGTCAGTGCTGGGCCAATCAGCTGCATGTACACAGAGGGGTGAGGATGCTTTTTACATCACTGAACTAATATAGCCGACAACCAGGGGCGGACTGAAAACTCATGGGGCCCCCGGGCAATAGGGGATCATGGGGCCCCTGTGTCTTTGCCCACACTCAAAGCACACCCAAAAAAGCCTATAAAAAGGGTAACAGGGGCATTTCATGGGCTCGAATGGTCAGTCCGCCCCTGCCGACAACTGATTGGCCTGGCACTGACAGCTTATGTCTGGGCTCGGACCAAACCCAAGCTCATCGCTAATGACAGGGTCTCTTCAAGGGCTCTCCAATACACCAACCCTATTATACCAGACATGTCATATCAACCAATATCAAAGAAAGTAGAATATTGGTTCATAGACGCCTGCGCTGAAATACGATCGGGGTATCCGGGGGCACACCGATGTTATCACCAATGACATTTCTTTCTAGATGTTCCTCATGCAAGCAGCAGCAGAGGTGGCCATCAACATCATGCATATCCATGGGCAGCCGCCAGACATCTATGCGTTACACCGGAGTCATGAAGCCAGCAGCCGCCTCTCGCTGCCCCTGCTACGGAGCAGTCATGTTTTCCATGCAGGCATGATGGGGGCAGTGAGAGGAAGAGCCTGGCTGTGTAGGGAGGAGAGGGATGCACACAGACCTGACAGTAGGAGCAGGGTACCACTCGTCATAGACGCAGGCTTCATGGCCAGCACAGGGTCCATCGATGCCCCCAGCAATCTCTTCTTCCTTCTCCCTGGTTCAGCAATAGACAGGAGCCCAGCAGTAGTAGCAGCAGCAGCAGCAGCATCCCCTCCTCTTCCTCTCCCCTCCTTCCATGTCTCCCTCCTCCCTCCACCTTCTATGGAAAGTGGGGACAAGGAGCATCTCTTTCCCAGATTCCCCGTCATGCTGGGGGAGGACTAGGGCCGGGTGCTAACAGAGGCTTCACTGTCTGGGATCCGATGTTTGGGTGTGATTGGCTACATTGTATTGTATTCCCTTCATTCACGTCTCTACTGATTTGGGGGTTTGGCGATCGTTTACGCCTAAAATTAACCGGCGGCTTTCAAATGAACCTCCACAGCTGCCCATACTTCAATCTCTGTTGCTGGGAGAAAAGAGCATCGGTGTAAAGATGGCCATACACATCGATCTCTTCCAATCCATCTAAAGTTGACAACCCATTCAGTCAATAGGCCACACACAGGGAATCGGGTTTCAGTCGATCGTTTAGATAGGATTGTCATTTAAGCTGGTAAATGATCAATCACATACCTTCTTCCACTATATCATCTCATAATCTGATCGAAAAAAAAACGATCGAAGTCATGAATCTGCTCTCAGCACCTTTCCTATATCTCGTGTTTCACTCTTTAGTCCCATTCACACCTGCACAACGCATTTATGCGCTTTTTTTTTTTCACGCATTTCTCACACAACAGGATAGGACAGCCCAATAAACCTGAATGGACTGCCCTACGCACGACAAAAGAAGCTCCTGCACCATTTTTGGGCAGCGCCGTGGGGTTTTTTCGTACTGCGCATTTTCGTGTTTTGACGTGCGATAACGACATAGTGGCACTGCAGGTGTGTGATGCGCTTTTTGGTGCTTTTTTGTGCATGTGTGGGAACACATGTTTTGTCGCATGATAACATGCATGTTAAGACATGTTTAATAACAAAAAGTCAAAAATGTTGTTTTTTTTCTCTCAAAATTGTCTTTTTTTTTTTAAAGTGCAAAAAATAAAAACGCAGAGGCAATGAAATACCACCGAAAGAAAGTTCTATTTGTGGGAAAAAAAGGGCGTAAATTTCATTTGGTTGCAGCGTTGCATGACCACGCAATTATCAGTTGAAGTGACTCAGCGCTGTAATGCAAAAAATGGCCTGGTCAGGAAGGGGGGTAAATTCTTAGGAGGGCAAGTGGTTAACTGCATGTCTTGGACTCCCTTGCCCAGGGATGCCCTCAGGACAGCCAGGTGAAGGAGGAAGGATTCATCTGGGGTTTGAGACGGTACACCAAGGGGACTTCAGTGCTCCTTAATGCCGGCTGTTTAAAAAAAAAAAATCGGTTGTTCAGTAGGCCGATGTACCTCCAACGGTAAAAAAAAAAAGGGCCGGCATTTAATTACTTCGGTCCCTGCCAGGGGTGGACTGAAAACTCATGGGGCCCCCAGGCAATAGGGGATCATGGGGCCCCTGTGTCCTTGCCCAAACTCAAAAAAGCCTATGAAAAAGGTACCAGGGGCATCTCATGGGGACCCCTACTGGCCCTGGGCCCTCGGGCAGTGCCCGAGTTTCCAAATGGTCAATCCGCCCCTGGTCCCTGCAGAGAGCTCTGCTATTATATTATTATATTTGTATCCATTTCGGATACAGATGGTTTTATTCGGATACAAATAGATACATTGTTGCAACTGCAATACTTTTTCGTGTCAAATATAATAACGGACTGGAATTCTTCTTCTTTTTCTTCTTCTTTTTCTTTTTCTTGTAGGTCACGGCTCATTCGCAGATTTTTTTATCTGTAAAAAGATCGGCCGATTTCCCCATTATTGGCTCGAAAATCAGCCGATCGGCAAAATCGGACAATTTTTTTCCAACTTTACTGATAAAATCTGCCAAAATCCAGAAAAACGGCCGACCAATTAATCCATTTAACGGTGAGAAAATCGGCCGATTTTTGACCCATTTTTTTGTAGTGTTTTGCTAAAAGTTGTCCTCAGGTTCTGCAGTTCCTTGGGCATCCCATATACCCCGTCACCCCACCCAAGTTGTTAAGCCTTAATAAAACAACAAAAAAAACAAGCTCCACAACTGTTTTACTGACTCTGTGTGGAAAATGCATGTTGCCTGGCTGTGCAGAGCTTAGGGGGGGACCCATCAAAAAATCCAGCAGCCCTCAAGGGAGTAGCACTACAATTCGTTTTTGGGCCAAATTCTTTGGCACAGCCCCACACTGCAAGCCTGTTTAGGTCTATGGGATGACAAAAAGCAGTTTTACTTACCCGATCCTCTGCTCCCGTAGGCTCCCTGCAGGCTGTGAACAACCTCTTCTCCCCTACACTCTGGCAGTTGCAGGTCTTGTGACATCATCAAGTCCAATGCAAAGCCCATAGCTCTGCATTGGATAAATGTCCATTGTCGTGCCTAGGACAGTAGAGGAAAGCGCCGGCTGCCAGGGAAGCTGATGTTTGGGTAAGTAAAACTTCTTCTAGGGCCAGTTCACACTACATGCATTTCAGTTGCTTTTTATCTGCATTGAAAATGCACAGAGAGTGGGTTATATGGTTGTAAGTGTCATAGTTCACATCAGTGCTTGCAGTTCCAGTGCGTTCCAGTTGCAGGAAGAAAAAAAAGTAGAACACTGGAACGTGTTAAAGCGAATCAAAAATGCATCTTCTGTTTTAAACAGACACCAATCTGGATGAAGGAGCACAGAAACAGATTTGAACGACAGCATTATCAGTCTGGAGGGAGGGGAGTGTTAGATGGACTAGCAGATTTAAATACACTATCAAATTGAAGCCAAACTCCAGCTAACAATTCGTAATCAGTTACAGCACACGGTTTCATTTGGGATAAATGTTTTACATAAATGAAATAAAAGCTGATCATTGTACGCACGGCTGCCAGTGGTAAAGGGTTTGTCTCTCATCCTTTTAACTACAAGAGAGCTTGTTCTGTTGAAAAAACAACAGACTTACTGGCTGGATCAATAAATGAAAATAGAAGAAAGAAAGCCTAAAAGAAATTAAGCTAATGCAGCCGTCACATCTGCAAATTATTAAGCTGCAATATAAGAAATCCTTGCTTTTGGGTTTAGAGCTACTTTAGAGTGTTACTAACCCCAGGACCCTGCATTCACTATATCTGGTCTCCCCCGGACTCTGCATTCACTGTATCTGGTCTCCCTGGACCCTGCATTCACTATATCTGGTCTCCCCGACCCTGCATTCACTATATCCGGTCTCCCCGGACCCTTCATTCACTATATCTGGTCTCCCCGGACCCTGCATTCACTATATCTGGTCTCCCCGGACCCTGCATTCACTGTATCTGGTCTCCCCGGACCCTGCATTCACTATATCTGGTCTCCCCGGACCCTGCATTCACTGTATCTGTTCTCCCTGGACCCCACATTCACTGTATCCGGTCTACCCGGACCCCGCATTCACTGTAATCGGTCTCCCCGGACCCCGCATTCACTATATCCGGTCTCCCCCGGACCCCGCATTCACTATATCCGGTCTCCCCGGACCCCGCATGCACTATATCTAGTCTCCCCGGACCCCACATTTACTATATCTGGTCTCCCCAGACCCCGCATTCACTATATCCGGTCTCCCCGGGACCCCGCATTCACTATATCCGGTCTCCCCGGACCCCGCATTCACTATATCCGGTCTCCCCGGACCCTGCATTCACTATATCTAGTCTCCCCGGACCCTGCATTCACTATATCTAGTCTCCCCGGACGGACCCCACATTTACTATATCTGGTCTCCCCCGGACCCAGCATTCACTATATCTGGTCTCCCCGGGCCCTGCATTCGCTATATCTGCTCTCCCAGGACCCTGCATTTACTATATCTGGTCTCCCCGGACCCTGCATTCACTATATCTGGTCTCCCCGGACCCTGCATTCACTATATCCGGTCTCCCCGGACCCCGCATTCACTGTATCCGGGCTCCCCCCGGACCCCGCTTTCACTATATCCGGTCTCCCCGGACCCCGCATTCACTATATTCGGTCTCCCCGGACCCCGCATTCACTATATCCAGTCTCCCCGGACCCGTTTACTATATCTGGTCTCCCCAGACCCCGCATTCACTATATCCGGTCTCCCCGGACCCAGCATTCACTATATCTGGTCTCCCCGGGCCCTGCATTCGCTATATCTGCTCTCCCCGGACCCTGCATTCACTATATCTGGTCTCCCTGGACCCTGCATTCACTATATCTGGTTTCCCCGGACCCTGCATTCACTATATCTGGTCTCCCAGTCCCTGCATTCACTATGTCTGGTCTCCCAGGACCCTGCATTCACTATATCTGGTCTCCCAGGACCCTGCATTCACTATATCTGGTCTCCCCGGACCCTGCATTCACTATATCTGGTCTCCCTGGACCCTGCATCCACTATATCTGGTCTCCCTGGACCCTGCATTCACTATATCTGGTCTCCCAGGACCCTGCATTCACTATATCTGGTCTCCCACAGTACACAGAACATGGAAATGCAATTATTTTAGTAAAATAAAAAAGATAAATACCTTTTCTCATCAGCAGTATATAGCAGTCTTGTGACTTCTATCAGTGTCCAGCACAGCACAGGTTAAAGTTTGTAGGAGGAGCATGTGCAGAGTGACTCCACACAATATGTCTTATCAGGAGATAAGAGGGGGGGCACTGGAAGAAGGGGAGGATCAGAGAAGTCAGGATAAATCAGCCTTTTTACACAATGCAGAGGATTAACCCCTTAGGTCCCACAGTGAGTATAACAAGCATGCTTTCCTGCATATACAGACTGATTGTACTTTTGTGGGTTTAGGAACATTAAGAAAATGCAACAGATGGTTCTAAAAGCAACTACTTCATCCCTTCATCTACCTCAGTGTGCCATTCTTCTTCATCATCATAGGGCCTTTGGGGGGATTTTCGTCTCTCTAGGAGGTGAAGACTTTAGTTCATTCACCATTTATTGTGTTATTGTTATAAATAGCGCGGGGCCACTGTAGCCTCCTCTGCCCCGAGGCCGCTGTCACTCCGCATAACTGTCTCCACTGGCATCTGTTGCTGCTGTTTTCTAGAAACATCCGTGATTGGCTACTGGATGCAGAACAGGCTTCGTTATATTACCAAAACCACTGAAGGGCTCATTCACACGGGCATGACATTACC